CCGTCAGTCACATGTCCAATGTCCTTGACCTCATTTTCATGGTTCAGTGACTACTTGAAAAAAAAGTTAAGATTTTTTGTAATGTTAGATTCTCTCTTATTATAAGTAATAGGATAACTATATTTGGTATGTGCGTACCTTGCAAGGTCCTCATGCCCGTCAGACAGTTTTCACTTGACCTCAACCTCATTTCATGGATCAGTGAACAAGGTTAAGTTTTGGTGGTCAAGTCCATATCTCAGATACTATAAGCAATAGGTCTAGTATATTCGGTGTATGGAAGGACTGTAAGGTGTACATGTCCAACTGGCAGGTGTCATCTGACCTTGATCTCATTTTCATGGTTCAGTGGTTATAGTTAAGTTTTTGTGTTTTAGTCTGTTTTTCTTATACTGTATGCCATAGGTCTACTATATTTGGTGTATGGAATGATTGTAAGGTGTACATGTCTAGCGGGCAAGTGTCATCTGACCTTGACCTCATTTTCATGGTTCAGTGGTCAAAGTTAAGTTTTTGAGTTTTGGTCTTTTTTTCTAATACTATATGCAATAGTTCAACTATATTTGGTATGTGCGTACCTTGCAAGGTCCTCATGCCCGTCACACAGTTTTCACTTGACCTCGACCTCATTTCATGGATCAATGAACAAGGTTAAGTTTTGGTGGTCAAGTCCATATCTCAGATACTATAAGCAATAGGTCTAGTATATTCGGTGTATGGAAGGACTGTAAGGTGTACATGTCCAACTGGCAGGTGTCATCTGACCTTGACCTCATTTTCATGGTTCAGTGGTTATAGTTAAGTTTTTGTGTTTTGGTCTGTTTTTCTTATACTGTATGCCATAGGTCTAGTATATTTGGTGTATGGAATGATTGTAAGGTGTACATGTCTAGCTGGCAGGTGTCTTCTGACCTTGACCTCATTTTCATGGTTCAGTGGTCAAAGTTAAGTTTTTGAGTTTTGGTCTTTTTTTCTAATACTATATGCAATAGGTCATCTATATTTGGTGTATGGAAATATTTTATGATGTACCTGTCAGTCTTGCAGGTTTTATTTGACCTTGACCTCATTTTCACGGTTCATTGCTCAGTGTTAAGTTTTTGTGTTTTGGTCTGTTTTTCTAATACTATAAGCAATAGGTCAACTATATTTGTTGTATGGAAGGATTGCAAGCTTTATTACATGTCTGCCTGGCATTGTTCATCTGACCTTGACCTCATTTTCTTGGTTCATTGGTCAATGTTTAGTTTTCTTGGTTAAGTCTGTATCTTAGAAACTATAAACAATAGGTCAACTATATTTAGTGTATTGAATGAATGTAAGGTGTACATGTATTTCTTGTTTGGTTTATATGACCTTGACCTCATTTTCTTGGATCATGTTAAGTGTATGTGATAGTTGTAGTAAAGCTTTATATTTAGGACTATCAACATAATATCAATGATTAGTAAAGAAGGCGAGACATTTCAGCGTGTGCACTCTTGTTGATTATGGGCCCAGTTTTCAAGTTGGTCCAAATCGGGGTCCAAAATTAAACTTTGCTTGATTTCAACAAAAATTGAATTTATGGGGTTCTTTGATATGCTGAATCTAACCATGTATTTAGATTTTTGATTTTTGGGCCCCGTTATCAACTTTGTCCACATTGAGGTCAAAAGGGTCCAAAATTAAACTTTGTTTGATTTCATCAAAAATTGAATTTATGGGGTTCTTTGATATGCTGAATCTAACCATGTATTTAGATTTTTGATTTTTGGGCCCCGTTATCAACTTTGTCCACAATGAGGTCAAAAGGGTCCAAAATTAAACTTTGTTTGATTTCATCAAAAATTGAATTCTTGGGGTTCTTTGATATGCTGAATCTAACCATGTATTTAGATTTTGGATATAGGACCATAATAGGTGAATGTCCAATTTAAAATTTTTAAGTTCTTAGACCACATTCATTCTGTGTCAGAAACCTATGCTGTGTCAAATATTTAATCACAAATCCAAATGCAAAGCTGTATCAAGCTTGAATGTTGTGTCCATACTTGCCCCAACTGTTCAGGGTTCAACCTCTGCGGTCGTATCAAGCTGCACCCTGCGGAGCATTTTATTGGCTTCTATAAAAGGGAATGATTTTATATTTGGTCTGCAGCTTGATAATGTTGAGTTGTAGCATGTAAGCATTTTTTAGGTCTATTTTACTGCTACTTCCTGTTAAGTGATAGTGTGAAATTTCAATCGATTCTACACAGCGACGCAGGTCCAGACCAGGTATTGGACTTGTTAATACTTTTGTAGCATCAGGTTTATTTTTTTTAGATAGTTTTGAATCTCATGAATTATACATTATAGATTTGGAATATTTTGTATACAGAGAATTGAAATAATGTACTTGAACCTGTGCACCTGACAGGTTTTATTTGACCTTGACCTTGGTGACCTGGACCTTGATTTGAGAGTTCATTGAAATTAAGAAAAATCAAGTATTGCACCAGGGAAACATTTATGGTTTATATTTTAGAAGGTGGAAGACCTGGATGCTTCATACTTTGTATATGGATGCCTCATGTTACGAAGTTTCCGTCAGTCACATGTCCAATGTCCTTGACCTCATTTTCATGGTTCAGTGACTACTTGAAAAAAAGATAACATTTTTTGTAATGTTAAATTCTCTCTTATTATAAGTAGTAGGATAACTATATTTGGTATGTGCATACCTTGCAAGGTCCTCATGCCTGTCAGACAGTTTTCACTTGACCTCGACCTCATTTCATGGATCAGTGAACAAGGTTAAGTTTTGGTGGTCAAGTCCATATTTCAGATACTATAAGCAATAGGTCAAGTATATACAGTATATGGAAGGACTGTAAGGTGTACATGTCCAATTGGCAGGTGTCATCTGACCTTGACCTCATTTTCATGGTTCAGTGGTTATAGTTAAGTTTTTGTGTTTTGGTCTGTTTTTCTAATACTATATGCAATAGGTCAACTATATTTGGTGTATGGAAATATTTTATGATCTATATGTCAGTTGCGCAGGTTTTATTTGACCTTGACCTCATTTTTACAGTTCATTGCTCAGTGTTAAGTTTTTGTGTTTTGGTCTGTTTTTCTTAAACTATAAGCAATAGGTCAACTATATTTGTTGTATGGAAGAATTGTTAGCTGTACATGCCTGCCTGGCATGGTTCATCTGACCTTGACCTTATTTTCATGGTTCATTGGTGAATGTTTAGTTTTCTTGGTTAATGTTAAGTTTATGTGACAGTTGTAATAAAGCTTTATATTTAGGACTATCAACATAATATCAGTGATTAGTAAAGAAGACGAGACATTTCAGCGTGTGCACTCTTGTTTAAGCTTTAGCAATACATTATTTGACTCAACAGACAATTTTCATATTACTGACTTTCGACTCTGGAGTGCAAAAAATTTCAACATGTTTCCTACTCTGTGGTAGCTAGAGGACTTTCTGGTAAAATCAAGCTTACAATCAGTGCAATTTGGGGAAACAACTAACTGTTTTCCAATGATATTGTCATGTATCATGTGTATAGAAAACATAAAACAATTAATTTTTTCCCTAAATTGCACTGATTGTAAGGTTGATTTTACTTCTTTTAGTTGCTCATACTTGACCAAGTACCAGAAAATTATATACTCCAGATGCTAAAGTCAGTAGTATAAAAAATAGTCTATTGAAAGTATTCTGTACTCTTTGTAATGACAAGTATTTTTATGATAAGACTATTGTATAGGTTGTTTGGTAGTACCAGTGTTTTATATATGTCCTTGTTGTCTTCTATTGTCAGGTAGTATAACAAATAATATACATGTTAGATGGGATCAAATATATATATATATATACCAAGATTAACAAATCATTATTTAATTTAAACTGTTATAAATAGTCTGTGCAAAAGTATAGAAAAAATTCTTCCCAAGAAAAAAGATGTATCAATAGTTTCACTGTGTTTTCATTTGGAGTATTTTTTTACATAAGAAAAAGCACCAAGGTACAAATGAACAGATTAAGAACATTTCTGTAAGAAAATGATTAATTATCAACATTTGTTTCAGTGAAATTGTCTTTTTATCAGACAAATGATGCAGCTTAGTTTCTAAAATCTCTAAATTGGTGTACTCATTTGAAATTTGAACAAACAAATACAGAAATTAAGATTCTTTAACTTTACTTACAGTTAATTCAACTCACCTTGAAATGGCAATGTTATACCTTTATGTATATTAAAACCTAATAGTCTAACACATAATAATCCTTTGAATATTTTTATAACTCTGTAGAAAGGATGGAAAAGGTCAGCTGAGTTTGATTTGATATGAATGAGGATGATGTATATATTTATGAAACATAATTCTTACATGTAACTTCTACATTATTTAACTCTGATGAAGAGTGGTCTCATTGGCAATCATATCAATCTTCTATTTTTATATTGGCAAAGGAACAGCATTTATACTTTATTATCTGCTTGCCTAACAAATTAATTATAGTGTTTCAATTGTTTCTTTGTTTGTTCATACATCTACACCTGATAAGTTCTCCATTGAAGCCAGGATCCTAGCACCTACATTCATGTAATATTTACATGAAAATAATAATTGCTTTGTTTTTCACAGGCAATTTTTTTTCTATCTTTATTTTCTCAACAAACCAAATTACATTAGTATAGAGATACACACAATGAATATTACATAATGTATATGTACAGACATACAAAATTTATACGAAATTTTTCAAAATTGTTATATGAAATAGTGATTTACTTTAATGCTTAAAGTCTTTTATTACGTAAACAGATAATTGTTAATGAATTAGTGACTGAGAAATAATTTTTGTATTTTACTTCAGGAACTTATGCATTTACTAAAACATAAATTTGTGCATTATAACAGCAGCAATTTTTTATCTTTTTATTTCCTGTAATATGTGAACTTGTACCATTTATTAGATATGCGTTAAACAGAAATGATTCATTATTTTGTTTCAGATGTTGATGAATGTGTAGCAGATTTGAATATATGTGATGTTAATGCCAGATGTTACAATGTTCCCGGTAGTTTTCAGTGTCAGTGTAATTCTGGTTATCGTGGTGATGGTAGATCTTGTGTCAGTAAGTATACCTATTTAAACTAGTGTTATTTTATTGGTAGCTGATACAATGTGCTAGGCAGATTTCAAGTGTTATTCTACTTACCATGGCAACGGAAGAACTGTCAGTCTTACAATGTAAGACAGTGTGATGTTAATAGACCTAATCTAATTCTTTGATTTATCTCCCTTTCTCTATAACAGGTGTATGCATAATAGTGCACAGAACATTATACCATATTTGTTTTCAGTTTATAGTTTTTAGTCCCCTACCGACGAAGTCCAAGGGGACTTTAGGTTTGCACTCCGTCTGTCTGTCCGTCTGTCCATCTATCCATCTGTCCATCTGTTCATCCGTCAGTCCGGCAAATCAGCTTTCCACACTTTTTTTCTTCGTTCTTGAAGATATTGATTTGATATTTGGTATATAGTTTTATCATGAAAAGTTATAGATCAAGTTCAAATTTTGTTCCGGTTTGATGATTTAGTCCAGAGTTATGGACCATAACTCTGGACCATATCTAATGTTAGAGTACTTTGTTAAACCATATTTCTGTACAAAGGGAGATAACTCATTTTTTAAAAGACATTCTTTGTTAAATTATTTGAAGAATGTTTTGGCTGATTTGTTTGTTATTTAGTATTAACTAATTTTCTGAATGCTATATATATAAAAAAAAATTATGAAGAGAAATCCTTTAATTAGATAATAATCTATTTTTATTAATGTATATATTTCAATACATTACATTGTGTAGATAAAAGTTGTTGACATTTTATAGATAAGTTACAAATCTATATTAGTTTGTGACAAATGAAAGAAAAAATATTTGGAACTATTAATTATATTTGATTATATAATTTATAATTTGAAAATAGATATACACTGTATTACATCATATCTAATTTTAGAGAACTATTAATCATATCTAATGTTTTTTTTCATCATGCTTATAAGATATTGATTGATAATTGGTATATAGTTTTATCATGACAAATTACAGATCAAGTTCAAATTTTTGTTTCGGTCTAATAATTTTGTGCAGAGTTATGGTCCTTGGACTTGAAAAATTCACTCTTTCAATCAGTTTTCAACACTGTTTTCAGTCATGCTTGAAGATATTGACATGATATTTACTTTTTGTTTACACCATGACAAGTTATAGAACAAGTAAGCATTTTGTTCCAGTATAATGAATTTTTACCCGGTAGGGGACTATGTATTGCCATGCAATACTCTCAGAATGCTTGTTAGCATTTATCATGCCATTGGTTTTCTCTTTTGAATTGTTTCACATTTGTCATGCCTGGGCCTTTTTATACCACTTATTATACAATATGGGTTTTGTTCATTTTTGAAGGCAATGCATTGACTAATAGTTGTATGATATATTTGTATCAAACATGTTATTGCAGACATTAAGTTCTTATCTGGTTAATTTCAATAATTATGAACCTACACAAGCCTACCAACATTGAGTCTGTTGCTAAGAAAAAAGATTTCGCCATTACAAACATGATTTGTTGATTAATTTATCTTGTACTTTTAGAGGAAGTTGTACTGTGTGGTGATAATACCTGTCATGATAGAGCTAGATGTGTATACAACAGTGACTTACAGAGACCTATGTGTGAATGTAATACAGGATTTACTGGGGATGGAACAAGATGTGAACCTATACGTAAGTAACCATGGTGATGAACCATCTACATAAGTTTTTTGTCGAGCCTGCGACAAAGCAACTTTTGTTGCAAAAGCGAGAGATAGCGATCCTACATTCCGTAATCGGCGGCATCCACAAATATTCACTCTGTGGTTAAAGTTTTTGAAATTTTAATAACTTTCTTAAACTATCCTTGATTTCTACCAAACTTGGACAGAAGCTTGTTTATGATCATAAGATAGTATCCAGAAGTAAATTTTGTAAAAAAAAAAACCTGTTTATCCGTATTTTACTTATAAATGGATTTAGTTTTTCTGCCAGTTAACATTACATTCACTCTGTGGTTAAAGTTTTTTAAATTTTAATAACTTTCTTAATAAAATATCCTGGATTTCTACCACACTTGGACAGAAGCTTGTTTGTGATCATAAGATAGTATCCAGAAGTAAATTTTGTAAAAAAAAAAATCCTGTTTATTCATATTTCACTTACAAATGGACTTAGTTTTTCTGCCAGTTAACATTACATTCACTCTGTTTAAAGTTTTAAAAATTTTAATAACTTTCTTAAACTATCCTGGATTTGTACCAAACTTGGACAGAAGCTTGTTTATGATCAAAAGTTAGTATCTAGAATGAAATTTTGTAAAAATTTATTTCCTGTTTTTCCGTATATTACTTATAAATGGACTTAGTTTTTCTTCCAGTTAACATTACATACAGTCTGCAGTTAAAGTTTTTGAAACATTTATTAGATTCATAAACCATCCTGGATTTTTACCAAACTTGGACAGAACTTCTTACAATCAAAAGATAGTATCTACAGGAAAACTTTTAATGATTTTTTCCCCATTTTTGTTGAGCCTGCGACTTTTGAATTAAGGGATAAATCATCAAGCAATGTAAAAATTATCTTCTTTATCATTTGTTCATTCAATAAATTTATGTTTCAACTCTTTTATAAATCTATAGATTTGATTGCATACTGTTTTCATTTTTTTACAAGCATAACTTTTTTCATACATTTCAAACGTTTTATTTAATTAATTGTAAATCTATTATGTGCATTCCCCTATCACACTGAAGACATAGACAACAGCAAAAGTAGGGGAGATACTGGGTTCCGTGGAACCCTTACAAATTTTTCAGTTGTTTAATCTTTTATTTTGCAATACCATTTTAACCATAAGTGATTGTGTATTCATTGCATTTATAAAGTCCAAATTATTGTGAAATCCAGCATAATACACCATTATCCTTCAATGGTTTAAATTTCAAAATTTATTTGTAAGGGGAAACAACTCATAGACAGGACAATCTAGGTTCCTTCCTATTCAAATCAAATGGCACAAGCATGGTGTATTGTGTAGAATCTGACACCATTCTACCCCTGCTCGAAAAATTAGGGATATATTGGCTCACCTTTTTATATCCTCCTGTAAAACTTTCCTGTCATATTTTCTCAGCAACCACAAATCAGAGCTCCTTGATAATTGGCACCAAGTTTAATATTTGTAAGCTAAGTTGTGTGCTTATCTACTTCCTGTTGTCTACTTGTACATAAAATCTTTATATTACATAGGATACATTGGTTAATAGGAGATGTTTGGTAAATATTAAAATATTAATGAAACAATATACTGTAAACACAAGTTTAACTCAAATAGAAAAATTAGTCACAATATGGCCATCAACAATCGACTCAGCACCCATTTAAGTTATTTAAGAATAGTAGAAGAGAATTACTGGATATGAATTTTTGTTAATTCCAATTGTAAATTGTTATGAAGTATTTTTAAGTAAAACTTATATGTTAAACATGTACTGTTTAAATGCAAGTTGAGAATATAGATAAACATTTAAAGTAATTTCTGTCCTCATAAAAGTAATAATTTTGTTCAAGACAGTTCACAAATTTTATATATATGATATAATATAGATAGTTTATTTTCTTTATAGAATTTGGATGCAATGAAGTAGCTGGAGTTTGTCATGAGGATGCTGAATGTGTGTATGATGTTGATGATGAAAAGTACAAATGTCAGTGCAACGAAGGCTTTAGTGGTGATGGTGTAAGCTGTGAACGTTCCGAAATAGGTAGGTCATCTGAGGTCAATAGTTACATTATGTATTCTTATTTCATTACTGCATCTTGTATTGTAAAGGTGGAAGACATGTTTTATATTCCAATCAATCTGCATCAATGTGTATGTTTGCCTGGGTTAACTTGCCTTTATATACTTTGCTTATCATTTCAGCTGACTGTAATTGTGATCGTAACACTGAATGCCTATGGGATATTGTGATGTTTGCCTACAGATGTGTATGTTTGCCTGGGTTTACTTGCCTTTATATACTTTGCTTATCATTTCAGATGTGTATGTTTGCCTGGGTTTACTTGCCTTTATATACTTTGCTTATCATTTCAGCTGACTGTAATTGTGACCGTAATGCTGAATGCCTATGGGATATTGTGATGTTTGCCTACAGATGTGTATGTTTACCTGGGTTTACTTGCCTTTATATACTTTGCTTATCATTTCAGCTGACTGTAATTGTGATCGTAATGCTGAATGCCTATGGGATATTGTGATGTTCGCCTACAGATGTGTATGTTTGCCTGGGTTTACTTGCCTTTATATACTTTGCTTATCATTTCAGCTGACTGTAATTGTGATCGTAACGCTGAATGCCTATGGGATATTGTGATGTTTGCCTACAGATGTGTATGTTTGCCTGGGTTTACTTGCCTTTATATACTTTGCTTATCATTTCAGCTGACTGTAATTGTGACCGTAATGCTGAATGCCTATGGGATATTGTGATGTTTGCCTACAGATGTGTATGTTTGCCTGGGTTTACTTGCCTTTATATACTTTGCTTATCATTTCAGCTGACTGTAATTGTGATCGTAACGCTGAATGCCTATGGGATATTGTGATGTTTACCTACAGATGTGTATGTTTGCCTGGGTTTACTTGCCTTTATATACTTTGCTTATCATTTCAGCTGACTGTAATTGTGACCGTAACGCTGAATGCCTATGGGATATTGTGATGTTTGCCTACAGATGTGTATGTTTGCCTGGGTTTACTTGCCTTTATATACTTTGCTTATCATTTCAGCTGACTGTAATTGTGATCGTAACGCTGAATGCCTATGGGATATTGTGATGTTTGCCTACAGATGTGTATGTCTGCCTGGGTTAACCTGCCTTTATATACTTTGCTTATCATTTCAGCTGACTGTAATTGTGATCGTAATGCTGAATGCCTATGGGATATTGTGATGTTTGCCTACAGATGTGTATGTTTGCCTGGGTTAACCTGCCTTTATATACTTTGCTTATCATTTCAGCTGACTGTAATTGTGATCGTAACGCTGAATGCCTATGGGATATTGTGATGTTTGCCTACAGATGTGTATGTTTGCCTGGGTTTACTTGCCTTTATATACTTTGCTTATCATTTCAGCTGACTGTAATTGTGATCGTAACGCTGAATGCCTATGGGATATTGTGATGTTTGCCTACAGATGTGTATGTCTGCCTGGGTTAACCTGCCTTTATATACTTTGCTTATCATTTCAGCTGACTGTAATTGTGATCGTAATGCTGAATGCCTATGGGATATTGTGATGTTTGCCTACAGATGTGTATGTTTGCCTGGGTTAACCTGCCTTTATATACTTTGCTTATCATTTCAGCTGACTGTAATTGTGATCGTAATGCTGAATGCCTATGGGATATTGTGATGTTTGCCTACAGATGTGTATGTTTGCCTGGGTTTACTGGTGATGGAAGAACATGCTCTCGTATAGGTAAGTTTTATTTATTGCTGTAAATTCTGTTATAATGCTCAGCTGAGCTGAATAACATTAAATATTTATATGTTTCATATGAAATTGAAAATAATGTTCTTATAAAACATGTAGTAAGAAAAGTGAACCATATGAGATCATACATAAACATCTGTGTGAACAAAAGAATGATAGACGGTTGCTTTAAACGTCCAGCGGCTGATTTAATGCTTATTCGGAGCAAGAACATGTTAATCTGATATGAATATTAACCCTGCTTTGTTGTAGACAGACAGGTTGAGGCTAATTTTTATGCCCCTGCCGTAGCGGAGTATAAGGATTACACTTGTCCGTCTGTACGTCCGAAATTGGATTCCGTTCTCTAACTTTAGTTTCCCTTGACCAAATGTAATGAAACTTATACACAAAGTGTATTACCACAAAATACAGATCAAGTTTGAATTTGTGTGGCGTCACTTTTACCTTTCCTGAGTTATGCCCCTTTATAAATAGAAAAATTGCTGAATTTTTCGTTTCTGTTCTCTAACTTTAGTTAGCCTCAACCAAATGTTATGAAACTTATACACAATGCTTATTACCATAAAACACAGATCAAGTTTGAATTTGGGTGGCGTCACTTTTATAGTTCTCTAGTTATGTCCCTTTATAATGTTTTATTCAAGCGGGGGCATCATCTGTGTCCCATGGACACATTCTCCATTTATTTATGTGCTAGTTTACAAGGTAACATTCCATAGGAAGACATGTCACCCTACTTGGACACATTATTCAAACCTACCACTCTTTGCTCTTACTTATTAATGCAATGTGCTTAGGAGAAGGAGCAAATACTTTGGTTTAATAGGAATGGCATTCAAACCCACAACCTTCCACACTCAAGGAGAACACGAGTTCAACGAGAAGGTAACAAAAAGAAGAGAAAAATCAAGGAAGATTCTGTTGATGATACCTTAACTTGAATTTCTATTGTTCTTGTGTCATAAGAAGGGAATTTTTGATGCTTTAAACATATCATTATTTGGGATTTACTGAATGTCAATTTCAGTTCAGATGTGTTTGCTAAATGGATAAATTTTCTTACGAGAGGATGTGTGTGAAAATCCACTGGCTGGGTCAAACCAAAGACTTGGAAAATTGGTATTTGCTGCTTTTCTGCCAAGCTATCGGCATTTAACAGTATTAGCAAAGAATTTTCCCCTTGTAGTCAGAATAATGTTTCTGGGTAGGGTTACATATCTTCATGAGGACTATTACCTAGACTAGCCTGAACAAAATTGGCTCAGCTCTATTGAGTACAAAGCAGGGTTCTATTCCTATCACATTAACATGTTCTCATCCTGACTTGCATGTAATATTTGCCACTGGACATTATGTAAGAATCCATCATCATATAATTTTGGAACTTGCTTTTTAGGCAAAGCTTATTCTATATTATTCTTTCTATGATATATATATATATGGACAAGCACAAAATGGCTTCCTGGATTTCTAACTGATTTAGCAGATTTTGACTGCTGGTATATATTTTATTACAGAAGTGCCCTCTGTATGTAGCAACTGCCATGTAAATGCTCGCTGTGTTTACGATGAGATAACACGACAACATGAATGTGTATGTTCTAAAGGTTGGACTGGGGATGGCACAGATTGTCAGATGGAAGACTGTCGTGTCACACAGAACTGTGATCGAAATGCTGATTGTGTCAATGATGTTATTGTTGGTAAATTCCGATGCCTGTGCAAAAATGGGTTTATGGGTAAGACAATTAAAATGAAATCTAATCATGATAAAATTGATAAAAAGATCTTTATTTTAGATTTTTTGCAAACACATAGAGATATTAACACTTGAGGACAATTTCCTCCTTAGCTGCGTGAGAATCTGATTGAACTATGTCTCAAATGAAGTAACCTTAATTCAAGCATTATGTTCCAGATTGTCAAATTTTTCAAAAGATTTAGTTGGTAAAATGTTTTATATGATACTTCTTTCTTTCCATACAATCAAATTAACTTTCACATGTTGCATTTTTACAGAACATTGACAATGTAATTCATTGTGAACCAGAGGGTTGTAACATGTACAATGACTGTTTAATATATCAGGTGATGGGTATCGTTGTGAACCAGAATGTTGTAACATGTACAATGACTGTTTAATATTTCAGGTGATCGGTATCGTTGTGAGCCAGAGGGTTGTAACATGTACAGTGACTGTTTAATATTTCAGGTGATGGGTATCGTTGTGAGCCAGAATGTTGTAACATGTACAGTGACTGTTTAATATTTCAGGTGATGGGTATCGTTGTGAGCCAGAGGGTTGTAACATGTACAATGACTTTTTAATATTTCAGGTGATGGGTATCGTTGTGAGCCAGAGGGTTCTAACATGTACAATGACTTTTTAATATTTCAGGTGATGGGTATCGTTGTGAACCAGAGGGTTGTAACATGTACAATGACTGTGATATTAATGCCCAATGTGTTGTGGATGATAGAGTAAATAGGTACAGATGTGTATGTAATACTGGATATGACGGGGATGGTAAAGTTTGTATATCAAGAGGTAAATAAGACAGATTTAAACTGATTTTTAAATTGTTGATTTATTTATAATTTTTATGGTCATAAGACATACAATCTTTTTTCAGTTCAATTTTAGAAGTTTTATATTTTTTTAATTTCTTCAAAATATACCAGTTCCCTACCAATATTCACAATTATAAAGTATTTTCTGTAGATAATTTGATATGAGTTGCTGTTCCTTAATATATAATTCTAATTGATATATAAATTAAATCAAGTAATTTTATATGAACTTTATTACTTGCCCAGAAACACAGCCATTCAGACTTTAATGATACTTTTCTCAACTTCATTGATTCGCTGTATTTCACTCACTAGCATATTCTAACATCAACCCCCCATATAGGGGTATGAGTCCAGCTAGTTTCTAGTTCTATTCAATGTTCTGTTAAAAGCATTTTAATATTTCAGCACAAACAAATAGAATTTAAATATCTATACATGGATTTAATTAGTTTAAGCAAGAATGTCTTTTTACTATGAAATTAACATTCTTTTTGCGATGCAGTAAAAATTATGCACAGAAATTACTTTCAAAATAACTCAAAGGATGGAAATAGGGTGATTTTCGTCAAAAGGAAGATTTTTACACCCTGGGGAGATGAAAGGTCCAGAAAGGGTAGACTTAAAATTTTAAAAGTTAAAAGAGTCTCACTCCTACAACTGGTGCATTGGCAGGTACACGTGATGTAATCTTGCTTATGGCAATGACATTTTTATAGAAAGTTAAATAATACCCTGATAACATGTGTAATAAATGATATTTAAATATGTTTACAGTGGTGCCATGTAACCAAGTAAACAATTGTGGTCCTAATGCTCAATGTTTGTATGATCCTGATTCCTCGTCATACAGATGTCGATGTTCCGCAGGGTATCAAGGAGATGGGTACAGATGTGAACCAAGAGGTAAACAACATACTTTACACTTACAATATTCACTGGTAATATACTCATTTTTAGAAAAACATGATAAATGGTGTTCAGACTAATAATTGATATTGAAATATTACACATTATTTACTGGAAGTATTTGTCAGCTTGCAGTTTAAATTATGTAAATAAAATACTTGACATGACATCTTTTGGAGAAATGCAGTTTTTAATTGAACTAGTTTTATCAACATAAAAACTCCCATGCTCAGCCTTATAAGCTTTATTGCAAACATGACGAATTTGAGATCATAAATTTCTGTTTAAGTCAAAAGATCAACGATTTTCTTATAAAACAAATAAAAAACTCAACTTTATGGACCTGTGTGTTCATTATGTAAACTTTGAATTCAACTACATTGTGCATGGACATGAAGCAGCTTAGATGTATTAAAAATCTTCGTCTTAATGTTGTATATTGAAATGAATGTAATATTGTTATTTAGGTTTGGATTCCTGTAGACGAGATCCCAGAGTGTGTGACAGACATGCCAGTTGTATATTGAATGTAGATATTTATGCTTGTGTATGTAATGATAATTACAGAGGTGATGGAAGAAGATGTGAACGTAAGTTTACTGAAAAAATGCAGAGATGTGGTATGATTGCCAATGAGACAACTATCCACCAGTGTTCAAATGAAGTGGTAGTAAGCAATTATAGGCCACCATACGGCTTTCAACTTTGAGAAAACCCCATACTGTATAGTCGACTTTTAAAGGCCCCAACAACTGTTTTGTAACCAACAAACTTTGATTGTCAATCAGAACAGGCCAGTTATTACAAAGGGAGATAATTTCTCTTTTTTACTCAGTTATACATGAATAATTCTTATATATATATATATATATATATATATATATATATATATATATATATATATAGTAAATATATAGTAAAACCTGTTAAAAAAAACCAAATCCTCTGTTTTTTTAAAGCAGTAATAGATTAGAAAGAGTGATATTTTTATTTTTTCTTTCATAATAGATATATATATCATTAGAAAGAGAATTTATTGTATTTTGTTAACTCTGTATGTTTATCTTTTTAGCTATAAGTAATAGAGATAACTATTTACTGTTTAGTAGAGGTTACACTATACACAAAGTACCTTACATACAAACTCAGGATGATATGGGGCAGAGAGTACTTTATAAACCAGGTAAATAGAGAATTTTATAAACTTTGTAATTTTAATAATAAAAATTGATGTATACATCAATGAGACTACCACACATTTTGTTGTTGAAAGACGTAAAGAATTTAATTCACCCTGGAAACATCCAATTTTTTTACTTTCACAAAAGAGATTTTGACCTGCCAAAGCTGATCAGGATCTCCCGTTATTAAACAAAAACTCAAAAGGTGCTTAACATGTAGTAGAGCTAATTACCTATCTCTTTAAAACTTTATTACTTTGTGGCTTGAATAATGTCCTCATTTTTTCAGGAAATTCAACAGAGCCAAACTGTTATTGTCCCCCATGCAATGCATTGTGGGGAACATAGAAATACTGGGCGTCCATCTGTGCGGTCTTGTTATCGCTCTCATGTGTACGATTCTTGCCAGTTTTTTATTAAACTTATATCATAGGTTTATATCAGCACTGTCTTGGATAAGTTCTAAAATCAGTGCAGATCAAATATTTTAAAAAAGAGTTATGCCCCTTGGAAATATTAGTTATATGGAAAATTTTATTGTTAGCGCTCTCATGTGTACAGTTCTTGCCAGATTTTTTATCAAATTTATATCAAAAGTTTATATAAGCAATGTCTTGGACAAGTTCAAAAATCAGTGCCGATCAACTATTTTTAAAAGAGTTATGCCCCTTGAAAATATTAATTATATTGGAATTTGCATTGTATTTGCTCTCAAAGCCTTCATTTCTCTAAGATATTTGTTAATTGGAGCTCTGTTCTTTTATTGTGCAAAGATTTGGACCTATTTCCTTTCACTAATTTAACAGATCCTTCAGGAAAAATGCAGACACTAAGCCTATATTTCTTAATAGAAATAATGCAGCTATGCATAAAATTACATGTATCAATTCTGAAATTTCAAAATGGAGATGATCCATGCAGATAATAGTAAAAATTAAACTTTCAGAAAACTTATTAATTAAAAAGATTTTGAGCATTCTTGCTTTCAAAAGGAGTTGTTAATTGATTAACAGTATTCTTGTGTTTATCAGATCAGTTAATTATTGATGTGGATACAGACTGTGTGGATGGAGATATTTACTGGACAGATGTTTCTGGTGGTCAAATAAGCAGAGCAAAACTGGATGGTTCTAATGAAACAGTCATTATTAGTGGTTAGTCATTAAAATTATAACTTTATTTTAAAACAGGTTTCAATTTTTCATTCTCAATTTTATTCCCCAACTTACTTCTCTCCCTATTTGTGTATTTTTTAGGCAGTATACTGTAAATTCTGAAAATTTTTGTGATGTTTTTGTTATTGTGAAAATTGCATCAGGATAGGTTTTTCAAAAATGAAAACTTGCATTTCAAATTTTATAACATTATTTGTTTGCAGCATTTACAGAAATTAAAATAATTGATATTGGATTTCTGTCTTCTGTTCAATCACAATAATTAATGCAAGCAAATATTTCTGAATGTAGTTTCTAAATTTACCAAAATGACAAACCAATGATCAGAACAACAGATTGGAAACTAACAACAACAATGACAACTATAGCTAGAAAAGTTTTATAATAAATATTTTTCTATTTTTAAGAATAATGTTTGTGTGTTAGGTAGCCACTGCATATGATTTTGTAAGATACATAAGAAGTGTACACTAACAAGCCCACACTGCATAAAAGACAATCATGGTTAATACTCGAGCACTATATTTTAGGAGTGGCGATAGCATTTATTTTTAAAAAGGCATTGCCTTTAACTGTCTATATATTCAAGACTAGATTTGTATTTTACAGGTCAGAGTTCACCTGAAGGTATTGCCATTGACTGGTTATCTAGAAACTTGTTCTGGACAGATTCAGGACTAGATATTATTCAAGTATCAATGCTAAATGGAACATACAGGAAAACTCTAGTTTCAGAAGATTTAGTGAATCCTAGAGCCATTGTTGCTGATCCTAACCAGGGGTATGTTCCTCATAGAAATAATGATGAAAGCTAAGACTTGTAGTTATTATGGGCATTATAATTACACCCAATGTAATATGGAAACAACTGATATATAGTTTTACTTTATTTCAAGTTAAAATGCCAAAATTTGATTGATCAATACGAGGGAGATATTCTACTCTATTTCATAGCTTATATTCTTTTACCCTTCACAGAGATCCTTGATCAATGGTACACTTTATGAATTCAGAGGTTAATATTTTCAAATAAAATTTAAAGGACAATTATAATAGAACATTCAGTATAATAACACATATCTGAGAGTTGACAATGTTTTCTCAGGGTAACAATTTGCTGTATCACCCCCTCAGCTATGTGATATTTATATAATGTACAAAATTTTGATCTGACATAGAAATTTTGAAAAATCCAGTCTTACAAAAATTTTTTAAATAGCTAGTAGCATGGTAGGCTAGTCCCTTCTTAACTGGCAAAACGTTGCATAGAGCTGGTGCTGTAATCTAGTCACTTTTACACTGTTAGTTTATGAAACTGGTTGATATATTTTCTCATAAAGATCATAAAGTCCGGAAAATTCTAAAGTTAGTCATCTAGTTCGTGATTTTCCTTTTCATAGACATTTGCTTTCAAAAAAGAAATACTGTTTGATTTTTTCAGAATGATATATTGGACAGATTGGAACAGAGGAGCACCAAAGATAGAGAAGGCTTACATGGATGGAACACATAGAGAAGTCCTTGTAGATACAGACCTAGGACTACCTAATGGACTCGCCCTTGACCTTTATACCAATCAACTTTGCTGGGGTGATGCTGGTCAGTTTTCATCTCTTTAAATTTATCTTCTGTAAAAAAATTTATGTTTACCAATGATTCAGGTTTTATTAGTCCCCTACCGACGAAGTCTAAGGGGACTTTAGGTTTGCGCTCTGTCAGTCTGTCTATCTGTCCATCCGTCAGTCCAGCAAATCAGTTTTCCACACTTTTTTCCTTCGTGCTTGAAGATATTGATTTGAAATTTGGTATATACTTTTATCATGACAAGTTACAGATCAAGTTCGAATTATGTTCCGGTCTGATGATTTTGTGCAGAGTTATGGTCCTTGGACTTAGAAAATTCACTCAAATAATCAGTTTTCCACACTTTTTTTTCGTCATGCTTGAAGATATTGACTTGATATTTGTTATACAGTTTACACCATGCAAAGTTATAGATCAAGTAAGCATTTTGCTCCAGTACAATGAATTCTTAACCGGTAGGGGACTATGTATTCCCATGCAATACTCTCAGAATGCTTGTTGAAATAAAGTTTTATATGACCATCAAAAATCTTTTCAATTTTGTTTAATAAATATGAATTTGATTTCCAATAATCAAATTTATATTTTGGCTGTAGAAAAACTCAGAAATTCCTTGTTTCATTTTGTAACATTGATGTACAAACATGGGGCATATTTTGAAAGAAAAAAAAAAAAAAACATTTACATACTTCAAAATTTTACGTTAATAATGTAGCATGGAATCTCTACCTATACAAGTAATGCTTTTTATTTCCAACACACAAAATGCTATGAATTTTTAAGAATAAAAAATGATTGTAGGTACAAGTACAATAGAATGTATAAGAACAGATGGTGTAGGGAGAGCAACACTGACAGATGAAGCACCATATCCCTTTGGTTTGACATTTTCTGGCAGCAGCATATATTGGTCAGATTGGATTATGTGAGTTTTATATTAGATGTTGGCTAACAAATCTTGTAACCTTGTTTGTTTTCTTACAAGAATCTTTTCTAACTGTACGTTTTCCTCAACCAGTCCTTTATATTTCAACTTCAAAGCAAAACCATGTAAGAATATTGTAGGCTAATACTTCTTGCTTAAAACAGAAAAGCCTTCAAAGTTCAAAGTTCCTTTTGGGTTAAATTGAAAGGGTTTTTGTTCACCCCTCAATGAAAGTTGCATAATGAGAGACACATATATGCCATTAACTATTGAATGAAGCTTATAAATTCAGAGGGTAGTTGAGCTAGACATTTAACATTTTGTGTATATATATATGACCTATGGTCTGATGTCTCCATCTGGCATACATCAGCTGTCCTTGACCTCCTTTCATGGTTCAGTAACTTACTTTATTCACCATAAAGTTTATATGACTAGGTCAGTTTTTCATGAACTTGAAAAATAGGTTGATAAAATCATTTATATGTGTAATGCCCATATAACATAGATTCCCCCGACTTTGGCCACATTTGTATTGCATAGTTCATTGATGATTTAACCGTATGTGGTCAATAGAATCATTATAAGGGGTACACATCAATATGACAGAGGTCACTTGACCTTTACCTTATGTTCATGATTCAATGATCAACATTTACTTTACTTGCTAAGGTCAGTTACTTGCAGAGAGTGATAGATCATCTTCATGTTTAGAATCATAGTTAATTTGACTTTGACCTCTTTTTCAAAGTTAAGTTTTCATGATTAGGTCCACAGGCACTTGTCTCTGAAAAAACCCTATATACTTTGTTATAGTAAAGTATATACATGTAGGTTATTTTTTTTCAGAGACAAGTGCCAGTGATTAGGTCAGTTTCTCAGCTGCTATAAGTAATTGATCAACTATATTGGGTCTAAACAATGAAAGTTAGGTGTACATATATATATTTATAATTATATCTTCATTGTTGTAACATTTTCAGTTTAATAGGGATAACTTGTCACTAAAAGAATGTCTTATCATTTCAGACTAAATGGTGTATCAAGTGTAAATCGTAATGGCCAAGTATCAGATGAATCTTTAAGTTTACCTATTGGAGGAAATGGTAAACTATATGGTATAACAGCAGTCAGAGCTCAATGTCCTAGAAGTAAGTTAGATATTTTAACGGATCCATTAAACCATCATAGTCAGATTTGAAATAAATATATCTTAGTCTAAATGTTGATTCTTCTCAATGTCCTAGAAGTAAGTTAGATATTTTAACTGATCCATTAAACCACCATAGTCAGATTTGAAATAAATATATCTTAGTCTAAATGTTGATTCTTAAGCCAAAGAACAGACAAAATATTACAACCTATTTGTTAATCAGCTAATATTAGACTCGAAAAACAAGTTAATAGTGTCCACTGTAAATAAAGGGCTTCTTTAAGTTATTTAAATTCTTAATTAATGCAAACTGAATAAATGTAGTGTGGTCAGTGTGTTTTTCTTTTCATTTGTAACTAATACTTAAACATATGTAAGAAAATTTATTTTTCAACATTGTTGTATTTACTACACATGGTTGAGGTCTGATGATGTGACTATTTGTTTTAACAGTAAACAATGCCTGTGCCAGGAATAATGGAGGCTGTACATTCCTTTGTTTACCCACCCCCAATGGTGGCAGAACCTGTACATGTCCTGATGATATAGATCCTGAGAGATGTAATCAAGTAGCTCTACTAAGAAAAAGATGAACGTGAGTTTAGGGTTTTTAAAGGCTCATATTCATATTGTTTTAATTTTCGAGGGGTTAGATTTGAAGAATCTAGAAAAACAACATATACAAAATTCTGAATCAATAAAAAGAATTTGAAGCTCAAAGGCACTGGCAATAACTAGAAAATAATAATAATTGATACTTTTTGAATTTTTTTTTTTTAATATAACCTAAATACTAATTGAAATTAGGTGCAAATTTCAAATCCTTAGGCTTGATGGTAAAGGAGTAATTTTAAGACTCTTTTGTACTTTATTCAAGTATATAAATAACTGCTGAATCAATGCCTCCTAAATTTTGTGCTGATAGAGTTCCCTTAAGTGGATACCAGATGGTATGCAGGGTTGTCAGATTAAAAAAAAAAACTAAATACTGCTAAATTGACAACAACACTTAAGTAAACTGCGACTTTTATTGCTGTATTTTATTCAAGTATATAGAGGACTTGTTATAGCATATAATTTCAGACATTATAAAACATAATTATAACTGTTGCCAAATATTGATCACCTTTGTTCTTTACAGGTAAATCATCCGACTGCATAGAGACCATGATAAAAAATCAATAGAAGACAAAATTGTGAAACCAAAGATGTGTATTGCTAGCAATAGTAGTTATATGCAAAACAAATCATTTTCATAAAGAGTTTCTAGGTATTATCTACATATTAAATAATATTATATTGAGTTTAATCTTTTGTCATTCTCATAGCTTTTGAGTGAAAAACTGTTTACATTTTCAGACTTTTGGCAAACCAATACCCATTCCTTTGTTTACAGTTTAAATGAAACAAAGAGAACAAAACATACCAAATGAAAATTTTAACATCATGGAAAATTTCAATTGATTTGAGATTAAGATATTTTATAAATCAAGTCTATATATAAAGTTCAGAAAAAGTTGTTGGTGTGTTTCTTTTTTTAATTTCATTTATACTTTTTTGTAGATAATATGTTCTAAGGTTGTACAATATGATGTTTTTAACAAGATCTGATGTACATATTGTATAATTTGTATTAAAATACTCCATATATATATGTATGTATGTATGTATGTATAAATTTAGTGCCAAAATATAGTCCCTATCAAGAATTATGACTGTGAACAAATTTTAGATCTCGTTGAAGAAGTTACTTTTTATTTTATTTGTTTTCTTTTACATGTAACTATATAAAACAGATATTATTATCACCTATATACAAATCCATCTATTTTTAGTCTGTAAAGAAGGACTGGTATCTGCTTGCTATTTAATTTGATATTCTAAGTTTTTTATATACAATGTTAAATGTGTGCTATGTATGAATATTTGTTAATCTTTAAATATGTTACTCCTGTTTCTTTCACAACAAAACATTGTCCTGCAACACTAAAGTAAACATATACAATTAACAAATAAAAGGTTTAGCATCATCAGCTAGACTTTTCACACTAAAAAAATACTTATACATCTGCAGTGTAAATATAATCAGCCAATCTCATACAATTTATTATTGATATTTTATACTCAGATATTCAGGTTACAAAATGATGTCTATTAGAATAGCCATATTCATCAAGAAAACAATTTTACCAATTGCGTTATACAAGTACTGGTGGTATTTTATAAATGATGAATTCCACATAGTTCTTTACTCTGATTTGCTCAGTAGCACCCAGGAAAAGTTTTATCATGATGTAAAGAATTTACAAAATCTCTTTTCTTGAGATACTGATAGTCGAATTCAAAATTTGTATTTGAATACAGAAAAGATGCAAGCCAGAAAGAAAATAAATAACAAGGAAATCATATAGGATTGAATTCCTTTACAAAATCTCAGTTACTCAATAAATATTCAAAATGTCAGATTTAATTGTAGGTATTCATTTTTTGGTGAAATCCAAGTTGGAAATGTTCTCTTGTCACTGAAACTCAACATTTTTAAATGTCCAAATCCGGTTTCTATGTTAGTGTCAGTATGATTTTATATAAATTTTGTAATTTTTTACATTGTATTTGCCAAAGAATACTCAAAACATGGTGTTCAGCATGTTTTATACTGCTCAAACAGACTCATTTTATACATATAACAAGCACACCTCCAGGATTTAAGGCTTAGGAGGGGGAATCTTAAAAATTATGCTTAGCCTAGTAAGGCAACATTTTTAAAAACAAATCCATGCAAATCAAACAATATTTTTCTGATTTTAAAGAGGTTTGCATCAGATGTGCAATGAATCCGCCCTAGTATAATTAGTATTTTGACCTTGTAATGGGAGAGTAGTAGTATTTGTATTTAATAGGTAGAATTCTGTAGTTATAATCCATGTTCTCAAAAACATTTCAATAGTACCAATTAGGTATTATAAGTAATACTATGAAGTTTAGGCTGTTATTAAAATATTGTACTGCATCCTGATAAAATTGTAATGCTCAATAAAAATGTTACATCTCTTTCAATATTTGTTTTTCATTATCCATTACTTTTTGGTCAATACCATCTAGATCAAAGATAGATACTGAACTGGTACTTGTCTTGATGTTTGAAGATTTGACCATGTAGGTGGTAGTGTTGTTCAGAGCACTGAGTGACTTATTAACATGTTTATGATCTACACAACTGAAGAAAATAGATTTATTGTTGTCAGTCTGTACTTTCATCTTTTTGTCTTACCTAGTTTCAGTTTTGCAGTTAAAAATTTGCTAAAATAGCAATAATTCACAAATGCATTCATTGTGTATATAGTAAAACACTGTTCAACAGTAACTATATTGCATGGTTGAACGGCATTGTATATAGTAAATTACTGTTCAACAGTAACTATATTGCATGGTTGAGTGACATTGTATATAGTACAACACTATACTGTGAATTTCTCACTGAGTATGCCAAATAGAACAAGAGGTTTTAAGGTATAAGGCCTAGATTAAGTCAAAATTATAGTACTAAAGGAGCTCCACCATTCAAATTCAGGATATCCGTATTGAGGACCTCCTGAAATATTTTATAATTTCTATTTCAGGTCCTCAAAAATACGAGTTCAGAAATCTTTAAATATTTATTGAGGTCCATAGTCATTTCAGGACCACCACAATTCGATTCAGGATATCCTACAATTGATTTCATGAAAACCATAATTCGATTTCTGACTATCCTAATCAATTTAAGATTGGAGTCTAATCAAGGAGATCCAAATATAGCCACATTCATCCAATGAATGATTTGTTAGTTTAACTATTTGATGTAACATGTTCCTTTCACAATCCCTTATTCGTTTCCCTAACTGGTAGCTGAGACATAGTTGTATTAAATGTCTCTTCTGGTAGTAACGTATGTATTGAATGTGTTTTAAACGCATTTCAGCAGTGTTGTGGGTATGTTTTCCCTCAACAATATATGGTGTTTTCTGTGTGTATTGAAATAATCAATCCCTGGTTGGAAAAATTAATATGCATATAATGACGTCTCAGCTGTAATACCAGTGCTATGAATTCTGCATTTTTCCACCTGCCTACTGTGGGTATGGCCCAAGTGGAGGGTGTTGTTTTTGTTGCCAGTATATTTTTTTCATTGTTTATTTCATATGAAACTTCAAACTAAAATGGTTTCCCCTTTTATCACATTTTCTACTGTCAAAACAAATCCAAATTACTTTGCAATTAATTTTAGTTTCCATTTTTAATAATCAAGACAAATCTTGGGTTAATCTGTATCATGGTTCACTATCATTCAAAATTGTCAATTAGTTAGCGTTTGAACGACGTTGATACCACGATACACTTTGCTTAAATAATGCTGGTCCTAAATGTTATTGACAGTCATGTACGATTTGGTAGCTTTTAATTGCATTATTGGTCATAAAACCTTTAGGACCAATCTTTGATACGTATTTTTTAAACCCGAAAATCAACGTAGGATAGAGAAACTTAAAGCGAGTTTACCCCTTCCCCCCAAAAAAACCCAACATACTACATGAATAAAGTTGGTTTTTTTTATCTTACACCGATCTGTTTGTGTTGTTCCTTAGTCAATCTGACATCCAGTGAAGCATCTGTAGACTAAAATGGTAGTAATATTAGTAATCCACTTAGATGCGGGTCCAGGATTTTGAAAAAGAGGGGGGCCAAAACTAGGCAAGACGAAATTGATAAAGAAATATAGATTGTATAGGAGGCCTTCTATGTAGTATTCTTTAAGTTTAGGAAAAAGGATAAGGTGTTTCAATTAATGACACAAAATCACTTCATGCATGCACATGAAACTGAGAAAAAGGCAAAGGAACAGCGCTACCAAAATATGTGCGGCAATATTGTGTTCTTGATACAAAGGAATTAGTTCTATTTATTCAAAGCATTTAAAATGATGTACACATGGATAAGTCTAATGCCGTACGCACTGAAGATTCTTACAATTTTTCTCCTATCCATATTATAGTTGCTACTAACTGGCCGAGAAAATTGTAGTTTCCATAATTTGCAGCTGACAACACTAACTTGTCTGCATGTCTGAAATCTAATTTACCAAAAATCTATACACATGATACCACATGATCTATATTATATTGCTTGTCCTAAATGGATAGATGTAATTTCCACATAATTGTTAATAGCAAAATTTCCAATATCTATACATAAAACGACCGTTTTACAAATCAGAAGCTTGAAAGACAGTGAATTATAATTCATTGATTTTCACTGGTAAATGCGTTCTTTTTACAAAGGAATTCTAAGTCAAAGTGTGACACCTGTATAAATTGAGTTGATAAAACATAAGGACGTGACAAGGATTTGAGATCTACATACGAAAGTTATTATTATTCTCCCACAAGAGCCCCTTTTAAGTGTAATGTGCGCACGTACATTATCGCATGCACAATATAAAAATGGATGGATTTCTTCTTTGTGTGTTTGTCTACCTGTGTGCAATTGGAATAGTTTTATGTAAAACAGGTAAATACAAATTTACATTTGTTCCAATAATGACTTAATTAACTGTTCTGATTATGAATAAATTGTCTTTTCTGTTATGTCTTTGAGATCGATTAAAACAAAACAATGAAGGTCAATTACAATTAAGTTATATTTGTAAATGATACACACTCGGAGGATACACAGAAGACATAGTAAACAGCTATTAAACACAATAAGGGAAAGAAAAATAATATTTCGCAGCATGATATGTACATACGGTTTTAATAAATCTAAGCGGTTTAAAGCTTAGATTGATCAGAGACATATATATACACTGGATTTCAAAATTGGTCTGGATTGATTTGTTTTTTCTGTTTAGATCCTTTGGGTATGTGGGTATGATAATCCTAGTTTCTGTTTATGCATTACTAGTTTCGAGTAAATTTAATGTAGTTTCCCCGAAAAGCATGCATTGTTCACATTAAAATCGGCATAATCTAGACGATTATTACACATGTAAATTCCACTAATACAGATTTTAACTGGGAATGTTTACAGTAAATCTCATCTTGGCTTAAACTGGTGAAATTTCATGTTGGCAGCATATATACGTCACACCAAACTTTGACATGTCTGAATAAAAATCTCTGAACCATAGAATGAGGTTTTTGTTATAAAGGTTTTTTTAAACATGCAGAGAGCGTGGAACTATTACTACATGTAGGTTCGGAGTTTATAACCCCATTACAACTGGACGGGGTGCGCACAGCCAAACACACGACCCTCCTTATCATGGAATTTACTCCAGAAAGTAGAAATCCATGGATATCGATATTTCTATACCCTTTATCATGTTTGGAATTTACATGTATTTATGATGGATAAATTATGAAGTTTCACGTTAGTATTAGCACATGTACATCATACAAACTACTTTAAGTCGCTGTTTTTATTAAAAATGTGTTATGTTAAACATATAGAAATAAGGAGATGTGGTACGATTGCCAATGAGATTATCCACCAAAGTTCAAACGAAGTGGATGTAAGCAATTATAGAATATTAGCGACGGTAATTTTTTGTTGATTCGCGACAAAATTGTATATAAATCTAAAACTAAACATCTTTATAAGAATGATGTGGTCAAGTTTGGCTGTGGGTTTTTGACAGTGATTTTTAAACCTGAAAATAAGCTAACGAAAAAGCTACCCCGAAAAGAAAGTGCAGGTCGCCATACGACCTTCAGCAAAGTTCAATTACAGATTCGGAGAAAAGGCGCGTATACTATTTTCTTAATTTGAATCTCATAAACGACTAAGAGATACATATGCATACTACACCGTTGTAATCCTTAAAACTTTATACAAAACAGATACACATATGAAGGTGTGCAGATATTCGAACATCGTCGTATGTGAAATGTTATGATATCCACGATCAACAAATCCCAAATGTCCTACGTTTAGTCATCCCATTCATTATTTATAAACAAAACACCAAGTTTAATGATTCATCTACTAGTATATCAAATGGGAACAAAATTTGATCAGTTGATTTTGTATATCTTTTACTATTAAATTGACATTACAATCAATAGAAATATTCACCATCGTGTTTTCATCTATAACCTGTTGTCGGAAGGTGCCTATATAAACCAATGAAAACCCATGTATCATGTTCCATGAGCAATGCCGGCCCTGGCATGGAAATGAGGAATACAGCTTGACATCCATCCATAACAGAAAAACATATACTTGAAACACAATAAAAGAAATAAAAATAAAAATAGAAATAACGATGATTTTTTCCTATAAACACCATTACCTGTTGCCTGGAAATAGATATTATAACAACTAACACACACAATAATAATATATGTGTGCTAAATCTTGGTTTACACTATTACATGCTGCCTGGCAACATATATTATAACAACTAACACACACAATAATAATATATGTGTGCTACATCTTGGTTTACACTATTACATGCTGCCTTGCAATAGATATTATAACAACTAAAAAACACCATAATAATATATGTGTGCTAAATCTTGGTTTACACTATTACATGCTGCCTTGCAATAGATATTATAACAACTAAAAAACACCATAATAATATATGTGTGCTACATCTTGGTTCACACTATTACATGCTGCCTTGCAATAGATATTATAACAACTAAAAAACACCATAATAATATATGTGTGCTAAATCTTGGTTTACACTATTACATGCTGCCTTGCAATAGATATTATAACAACTAAAAAACACCATAATAATATATGTGTGCTAAATCTTGGTTCACACTAGTACATGCTGCCTTGCAATAGATATTATAACAACTAAAAAACACCATAATAATATATGTGTGCTAAATCTTGGTTCACACTATTACATGCTGCCTTGCAATAGATATTATAACAACTAAAAAACACCATAATAATATATGTGTGCTAAATCTTGGTTTACACTATTACATGCTGCCTTGCAATAGATATTATAACAACTAAAAAACACCATAATAATATATGTGTGCTAAATCTTGGTTTACACTATTACATGCTGCCTTGCAATAGATATTATAACAACTAAAAAACACCATAATAATATATGTGTGCTAAATCTTGGTTCACAATATTACCTGTTGCCTGGCAATTGATATTATAACAACTAACAAACTAAATCTTGGTTCACACTATTACCTGTTGTCTGGCAATAAACATTATAACAACTAACACACACAATAATAATATATGTGTGCTAAATCTTGGTTTACACTATTACATGCTGCCTTGCAATAGATATTATAACAACTAAAAAACACCATAATAATATATGTGTGCTAAATCTTGGTTCACAATATTACCTGTTGCCTGGCAATTGATATTATAACAACTAACAAACTAAATCTTGGTTCACACTATTACCTGTTGTCTGGCAATAAACATTATAACAACTAACACACACAATAATAATATATGTGTGCTAAATCTTGGTTTACACTATTACCTGTTGCCTGGAAATAGACATTATAACAACTAAAAAACACCATAATATTATATGTGTGCTAAATCTTGGTTCACACTATTACATGCTGCCTGGCAACATATATTGTAACAACTAACACACACACTAATTATATATTTGTGCTAAATCTTGGTTCACACTATTACATGCTGCCTGGAAATAGATATGATAACAACTAAAAAACACCATAATAATATATGTGTGCTAAATCTTGGTTCACAATATTACCTGTTGCCTGGCAATTGATATTATAACAACTAAAAAACACCATAATCATATATATGTGCTAAATCTTGGTTTACACTATTATATGTTGCCTAGCAATAAACATTGTAACAACTTACACACACACTAATTATATATTTGTGCTAAATCTTGATTCACACTATTACATGTTGTCTGGCAATAGATATTATATCGACTACAAACACCATACATAGATTAGTGCTAACATTTGATGCTCTTTGCTCTTAGAAAAGTTTAGTTGCCATGAATGTCGATCAGATAAGCAGCCATTGTGTGCAGATGAATTTGGAGGAAGGGATAACAAATTCCTGAAACCTTGTAACATGTCGGACGAAAATATGACTGTTTCCTGCAGAAAAGAGGTTAACAAGGTTCAACCGTATAAGGGTATGATTCTTTAGTTTCAACAGAAAAGAGGTTAACAAGGTTCAACCGTATAAGGGTATGATTCTTTAGAGGTTAACAAGGTTCAACCGTATAAGGGTATGATTCTTTAGAGGTTAACAAGGTTCGACCGTATAAGGGTATGATTCTTTAGAGGTTAACAAGGTTCAACCGTATAAGGGTATGATTCTTTAGTTAACAACCGTATAAGGGTATGATTGTTTAGAGGTTAACAAGGTTCAACCGTATAAGGGTATGATTCTTTAGAGGTTAACAAGGTTCAACCGTATAAGGGTATGATTCTTTAGTTAACAACCGTATAAGGGTATGATTCTTTAGAGGTTAACAAGGTTCAACCGTATAAGGGTATGATTCTTTAGTTAACAAACGTATAAGGGTAAGATTCTTTAGTTAACAACCGTATAAGGGTATGATTCTTTAGTTAACAACCGTATAAGGGTATGATTCTTTAGTTAACAACCGTATAAGGGTATGATTCTTTAGTTAACAACCGTATAAGGGTATGATTCTTTAGTTTCAACAATATTAATAAAGACAAATAAAAAGAAAAAACAAAACAAAGAAAAAAACAATAAGAAGAAAATAGTTTTACTTGAATTAGGATGCAGTCTTATGCCTAGCAGTGACAATGTCAAAAGAATAATCAATGTTTGAGACATAGCTGACGACTCGAAGAAACCACAGTGACAATAAAAACAAAAACTCCTTCATTTCATTCCTACTCAGTATTGTTGAAATAAGTCAAATTACATTTAATTGTTACCACAGAAATAATGTGTATCAAGCCTGTAATAACTCAGTCTTCATCTTCAATGACTGTCAATCAATATTATGATTCAGCATCCGCATAACAATTAAGATAACTTAATCAAGATTGGAGAGAACAAATGACATTTAATTAACAATGGCAACAGCATTTTGTTTTAATAGGCTGAAAAAATAGGACTATATCAATAGTGTTTTCATAAACCGTGTTTATTCAGTCAATCATAAGAAAATTGAGAATGGAAACGAGGAATGTGTCAAGGAGACAACAACCCAACCAAAGAGCAGAAAACAGCCCAAGGCCAACGGTGGGTCTTCAACGCAGCGAGAAAATCCCGCACCTGGAGGTGGGCTTCAGCCGGTCCCTAAACAATAATGTATACTAGTTCAGCGAAAATGGACATCACACCAAACTGCGAAACTTATACAAATGAACCAAAATTAAAAAAACACATAAGACTAACAAAGGCCAGAGGTCTCCACTTGCACTATGTATTACATTGTTTACAAGTAATCTTATCGAAGCCAATTGAAGACCAATAAAAATAACATTTGAATCGTTATTACGGATTCAGTTCGTTTTTACGATTTTTTTGTCCCACGCGCAACGCGTTGCGGGGGACATAGAAATACCGGGCGTCTGTCCGTCCATCCTGGTCTTGTTAGCGCTCTCGCATGTACAATTCTTGCCAGATTTTTATGAAACTTATATCATAAGTTTGTATCAGCAATGTCTTGTACTAATTCGAAAATCAGTGCCGATCAATTATTTTTAAAAGAGTCATGCCCCTTGGAAATATTAATTATATGGAAATGTGCTTCGTTAGCGCTCTCGTTTGTACAATTTTTGCCACATTTTTATGAAACTTATATCATAGGTTTATATCAGCAATGTCTTAAACGAGTTCGAAAATTAGAGCCGATCAATTATTTTTAAAAGAGTTTTACCCCTTGGAAACATTAATTTTATTGAAAATTGCATCGTTAGCGGTCTCATGTGTACCATTCTTTCAAGCATTTTATGAAACATATATAATAGGTTTATATCAGCAATGTCTTAGACGAGTTTGAAAATCAGTGCTGATCAATTATTAAGTGTCATGCACCTTGGAAACATTAATTATATGGAAAATTGCATTGTTAGTGCTCTCATGTGTACAATTCTTGCCATAATTTTATAAAACTTATTATAGGTTTATATCAGCAATGTCTTTTGACGAGTTAGAAAATCAGTGCCGATCAATTATTAGCGCTCTCATGTGTACAATTCTTGCCAGAGACACTTTCGAAAATAAGTAATAAGTGCTGATCAAATATTTTTAACGAGTTATGCTTCTTGAAATATTAATTATAACGGAAATGACATTGCATTTGCTCTGACGCGTTCATTTCTCTAAGATATTTATAAAAAGATTTAAAGAACAAAAAAAAAGTGTTTTTTAGTTATTGCCCTTGTATCTTGGATAGATAAAATATGTGCAACGCGGGGGACATTGGAACTTTGTTCTTAAATTTAATCTGTAATTACGATTTTACTTCGTAGTTACCTTTTTTTTTTATTTGCAATGAAGATTTTTAATTTGTACTTTTTCAGGGACAATTATTATCCGAAGCTGTTACTATACTGAAGGATTCAGACCGAAAGAAGAATTAGATGTTTATGGTGCAACTTACTGGAATTGTTTTGATTACGGGTGTAATGGACAGCAATCAGTGAAATCTACATTTAGTTTGATAGGATTCATAATAACAATTTATAATATTTTGTGTTGAATTGCGATACCAACATATTTCATTGATGCAATGTTTTATTTTATGTTCAGTGGAGAGTATTACGCGAAAGCTTATTTTTTAAAGTTCATCGGGGAGTATAACGTGAAAGCTTGCTTATGATTATTTTCGTATATGTTGCTGCTATCAACTTTTATGTGCTGCTGCAAACTATAATGTGCTGCTGTAGACTATAATGTGCTACTGTAAACTATAGATGGTTTATGATATTTTGTTGCTGTCGCCAGGCCGAGTAAAGCTTGTTCAATATTATAGAGTTAGGAAAGTTGTTTATCATTCCAATGTTTTTTATACATTCAACATGTAGCATGAGGTGGCAATATTAAAAAAAATGTAAAAAATATAAGTTAATTTTATTAGTTCTATACATATACAACTGTCTACCTTATTATGATTAAATCAAAGAAAGTAATGTCTCTATCTTGCCATAGCTAGTATAGCTGTTAACACAACGTTTCTACTACATCCTTATTTAAGATAAAAAAAAAAAAAGATTTCAGAATCTTAAGTCCATCCTAAGAAGGACTGATTTTGTGTAAGATGCGGTCTTCATTTGAGTATATATCTTTCTGAAATTTTTACGGACGCCATTATGACGATTCACCGTTGAATATCTGTGTCACAGAAGACTACGGGTATGTTCCATTTATCTACAAGTGTTTACACCTGTGTAGGACCCCGACCAGTGCAGCAGGAACTGTTTACTCCTGTGTAGGACCCCGACCAGTGCAGCAGGAACTGTTTACACCTGTGTAGGACCCCGACCAGTGCAGCAGGAACTGTTTACATCTGTGGTGGACACAGGTTTAAGTTGGGTTCGTATTGCTTAATTTTCAGGTTTCTGTTATTTTTTTGTTTCGTCGTTTTCTTTTATCCATGGTATTGTCTGTCTTTTTCACGGATTTTGCCATACTTTTTTATATGCAAAAAAATGGATTTTTATAGCAAACGTTCTTTCTTTATATGCCTGTCCCAAGTCAGTAGCCTGTAATTCAGTGGTTGTCGTTGGTTCATATTTGTCATATTTGTTTTTCGTAAATTGCTTTGTTATAAATTAGGCCGTTAGTTTTTCTCGTTTGAATTTTTTCACAATTTTCATGTCGGGGCCTTTTATAGCCAACTATACAATATGGGGTTTTCTCATTGTTGAGAGCCGTACGGTTGCATATAATTGATACTATCCACTTTATTTGAACTTTGGTGGATAGTTGTTTCATTGGCAAGCATACCACATCTCCTTATTTTTATACTAAGTAATACTGAATGCTGATAAATCGAGCGCAGCTAGGTTGTATTTTTACTTTACTATTCATTTATGAACAACACTGTTTCCCTCATTTATTCCTATCAAGCATTATAACTTTCTATATTGAAGTTGCAAACATTAAGATCTTTTATACGACCGGAACATGTTTGCGTTCGTATTGTGTTATGGCGATGTCTGCGTCATCGACGGTAGACATTTTGGTTTCCAGACAATAACTTGAGTATAAAGGTATGGATCTCAATGAAATTGTAACACACGGTTCCATACCATAATAGGAAGGTTTGGATTGACTTTGGGGGTTAATCTTTCAGCTGTTTAGGAATTAGGGGTAAAAAATGGACCAAAAAATTTGTTGTCTGAAGACATTTTGGTTCCAGACAATAACTTGAGAATAAGTGTATGGATCTCTATGAAATTATAGCACAAGGTTCCATACCACAATAGGAAGGTTTGGATTGATTTTGGAGGTAAATGTCGGAGCTGTTTATGAATTAGGGGCCAAAAACAAGCATTTTACTTGTTTCAGGACAAAATCTTGAGAATAAGTTTATGGATCTCTATGAAATTGTAGCACAAGAATCTCCACCTCAAAAGGAATGTTGGGGTTGATTTTGGGGGTCATGGCCCAAACTGTTTAGGCATTAAGGGCCGAAAAGGGGGAAAAAAATCGAATTTTCTGGTTCGTGAACAATAACTTGAGTATAAGTCTATTGATCGCCATGAAATTGTACCACAAGGTTCCATACCGTATAAGGAAGGTTGGGATTGATTTTTGGGGTTATGACCCTAGCGGTTTAGGAAATGGGACCAAAAACAATACTTTTGTAATACTTTTTATAAATTGATTATTTCTTGACCAATTTTGTCTTGAATTCTTGGGGTTCTTGAATCTAACCGTGTATTTAGAATTTGGATTTTGGGCCCTGTTTTTGAATTGTCCCATATTAAGGTCTAAAGGGTCCAAAATTAAACCTTATTTGATGTCATAAAAAATTGAATTATTGGTGTTCTTTGATATGCCGAATCTAACCGTGTATTAAGATTTTTAATTTTAGGGCCTGTCTTCAAATTGGTCCACATTAAGATCCAAAGGGTCTAAAATTAAACTTTGTTTGATTTAAAAAAAAAAATTTTGGAGTTCTTTGATATGCTGAATCTAACCGTGTATTTAGATTTTTTGATTTCCGGACCGGTTTTCAAATTGGTCTACATTAAAGTCCAAAGGGTCCAAAATTAAACTTTGTTTGATTTTAACAAAAAATGAATTCAAGGGGTTCTTTGGTATGCCGAATATAAACATGAATTGAGATTTTTTATTTGGGCCCAGTTTTCAAGTTGGTCCAAATTGGGGTCCAAAATTAAAATTTGTTTGATTTCAACAAAATTTGAAAATATGGGGTTCTTGGCTATGCTGGAAATAACCTTGTATTTAGATTTTCGATTTTGGCACCTGTTATCAAATTGGTCCACATTGTGGTCCAAATGGTCCAAAATTAAATTTTGTTTGATTTCATCAGAAATAAAATTATTGGGTTTCTTTGATATGCTGATTCTAACCATGTATTTAGATTTTGGATATAGGACCATAATAGGTAAATGTTCAATTTCAAATTTTTAAGTTCTTAGACCACATTCATTCTGTGTCAGAAACTATGCTATGTCAAATATATAATCACAATCCAAATTCAGAGCTGTATTACACAATAAAAAAAAATTATAAGTAGAGTCATAGTTAAAAATAGATATAGCATAAAATCTAATTTCAGAGAAGAAATTATGTAATTTTGAAATATACTCTTTATTATTAGATATTTTTAATATAATTAAAGGTAAGTTTTATAGATTTTTTAAAGACTTTGTATTCAGTCTTACATCTAAAACCTTCAAAATAAAAGTTTCATATCTTCTCTCAATTACAAAATGGTTAAGTAGAGCTGTAAATATGTCATCTCATCCTGATAAAAGGGACAAATATTATTACTTAACAAACAGATGTTTAAAACACAAAACTGAGTTTGTTAACATGTAGAGATGAATGTGTCCACTTTTTGGTATTACCACCCCAGTACAGGAATAATGTAGTTAATTGAAATTTTGTTTATTTAAACATTTTTATACGCCCGTTTACGGGACGTATTATGGTATACCGTTGTCCGTCTGTCCGTCCGTCGTCAACATGTCGGACATTAACTAAAAAACGCTTTAACCAGTTTGCATGAAACTATGGTGAATTGTTTGTATCTATTGACCTGAGCTCCCTTTCGTTTTTTATAAATTTTAAATTTGACGTTTCTGAGTTTTGGGGTTTTATTCATTACAGTAAGGGGGATTTTCCAGTTTTCGGACAATAACTCAAAAATGCTTTCACCAATTTGCAAGAAACTTTGGTGAATTGCTTATATATATGGACATATGCTCCCTTTTGATTTTTATAAATTTTAGACATTACGTTTCTGAGTTATTCGGTTTTATTCATTAAAAAAGGGAGATTTCCCAGTTTTTGGACAACAACTAAAAAAAGCTTTGAGCAGTTTTCATGAAACTTTGGTGAATTGTTTATATCTATTGACGTAAGCTCATTTTCGATTATTATAAATTTTAGATTTGATGTTTCAGATTTATGTAATTTTATTCATAAAAAAGGGGGGGTCCAGTTTTCAGACAATGCTTTGAGCAGTTATCATGAGACTTTGGTGACTGGTTCATATCTATTAAGATAACCTCCCTTTAGTTTTGCATGAATTTCTGATATGACATTGAGAAGTTATTGAACTTTATTCTTTGAAAAAGCGACGGGCGTATCATGCGCTCATGGCGCAGCTTTTTATTATAATTACATTTAATCATGAAAATTAAATAATAATAAAAACGAAGGAAAGTTTCTGATGTATTAATTCCTTACACACTAGCTAATGTGTGCATTTATTTGATTATTTTGTAATTATTTCTTTGTTATATTTCAATGTATTTCACGAGGGCCTCAGGGAAGATTAGTTTTACAGCTAACTGTGTAACCCTCTTCATATAAAATATTATTATTATTATTATTATTATTTAAAAAAATGAAATTTTTATTTTTCTTCCTATAAAAACTACACAAAATTTGTATTACATATTTACATTTGTAATTAACTAAATATTCCCATTTATGAATAAGTGTTGACAATGTATTTCCTATTAATTCATTCATGCAGCAATTACCACTTATTATCAAGAAAACAAAACCTGTGGTATTCATCAACGCACTTATAATTGGAGTGACAAATTTATTTGAAAATTTTGTGTTTTTCAATTCATCATTATTTTGATGCGATTTCTTGTGGATAAATGTAGGACTGTATTCATGAGGAATGATATTTTGGAAATTGTTTTTTTCATTTTTTTTGGTAATTTTTTTGAAGAACTTCGTGGTATGTTTGTTTGGTATTCTGTATAAATTAATTTTCTTTTCAGAATGCTATATATATTTTTTTTTATGAAGCGAACCCCTTTAAAAACTTAGCTCATATTGTCCATAAATAAATAAATCAATTAAATTTTTCGTGTACTTGGGGTCCAAATCGGGGTCCAAAATTAAACTTTGTTTGATTTCAACAAAACAATCAATATATAAGGTTCTTTGATATGCTGAATCTAACCTTGTATTTAGATTTTTGATTTGGGGTCCTGTTATCAAATTTGTCCATATTGTGGTCCAAAGAGTCCCAAAGTAAACTTTGTTTGATTTCATCAAAAATTAAAATTTTTGGGGTTCTATATATGATATGCTGAATCTAACCGTGTATTTAGATTTTGGATATTGGACTATATTAGGTAAAAGTCCAATTTCAAAATTTTAAGTTCTTTGACCATATTTATTCTGTGTCATAAACCTATGTTTAAAATATTTAATCACAATCCAAATTCAGATGCTGTATCAAGTTTGAATGTAGTGTCCATACTTGTCCCAACTGTTCAGGGTTTGATCTCTGCGTTCGTATCAAGTTGCGCCCCGCGGGGCATTTTATTGGCTTTATTTTTCTGTTTGATTGCAGACTTGTTGACAGTTATCTCGCATTTTGTAGTATCTAATTCCTATTCCGAAAGCCACCACTAAAAGGTTACTTTCTCAATTGACATTTAAGTATTACAC